GCAGGTGGCGTTGACAACGGCCGTGGAGAAAGTGATACCTGCAAGGGATATTCCTCGTGGGCAGTCCCCGATGGAGCTCTTGACGCCTCGAGAAATGAGTCAAACAATGGAGACACAGCTCCCAGCAGAGACAAATCGAGTAATAATCCCGGATCCTAGCGACACCTTGGGTGATCCCGTCGTAGAACAGACAGTGAGGAAACTGATAGAGACAGCTGGACGACTGGTCGCTAACAAGAATGCGCCAGGTTCCGGGGTGACTGCACCCTATGGAACGATTGACGATACGGGCAGAGTACGACTCTCCCAGACTGTGATCAGACAGGGGATAAGTGACGTGACACCACTCATGGGGGGCTCGAGAATCCCAGAGAGGAAAGTACGGAAGATGCCAGCGAAGAAAGTGTCTCGCATAATAGACGTGCAAAAGAATAATCAATTGAAATACAATTTCACGGGAGTTCCGGAGACAGATCCGAGGGCCTGCTTCAATCGAGCTACTTGGAGCCCGGCTGTAAACCTGCAGCAACCACCACTCGGGACATCTCATCTGATACTGGGAGACAGCTTGGTCAGAGTGCTGTCGAATTTTAGGACCTCGTGGGTCACCACGGTGATGGCCTTTGGAGGCGCGACGATAGCCCAATTATATCGGATGGTGGAACTGATGAATCCAGGTAGGATTCCCAATGTGATGATCTTAGTTGGGACGAATGACATCTCCAGAGGTTCAGACGAGCAGGAAGCACTATGGGAGTCAATGATTGTGTGTCTGTTTACGACCCTCTGGCAGAAGTTCAATTGCGCGGTACTGACCGTTTGCACTGTGCCAATGAACGCGAGAAGCCTGACAGCATCAGGAAGAAGGCACAACGAGGGAGTCGTCAGGTGGAACAACATCTTGAGGAACCTAGCAAGTCGAAACGCCGGAAGAATGATCCTCATGGACATCGAACATGAGTTGAGAGCCATGGATCAGGCCAGACTGACCACGGACGGCATCCACTTTGACAGTATCGAAGGACAAGCTTGGTTGAATCGAGTCTTCCAAGAGCGGTTGGACGAGCTGGAAGCAGAACTCTTTGACACAGGAGTGCTGAAGGAAGAAGGAACAGTGAGTGACGCGGTGATTACCACCTTTGTGCCTCCTAGCTTGGAAACACGCTTGAGTACGGTCCCGGCCGTCACGAACTACAGGCAACAAAGCTCCAGCGAACCAGGTCAAAGGACAGACGTACAGGATCGATTGGGAGAAGCGCCGATGAGGAGGACCATTCATCCTAGGAGACGAATAGGACCTGTCAACCCAATCGAAGAGACAGCCGGCACGTCTAGATCGGACACTAGATCGGAGACTACAAGTATCAGTCGAGAGGAGAGACGACCGAGCAGAGGCTCATTGATGTGGTCAAGACCCATACCGTCTCCTTGGCATATATAAAAAGACGAAATAATGAAGCTGGATCTCCAGAGAGTAAGCTTCATCGAAGATGCAAGGAGGATGCTGAATGGAGCGACGCTATCCGTCAACAGATTGTACTCGATAACCGGCGTAGACTGGTTGATAGCCGCTAGCATAAATTTCAGCTCCACGACGGCCTTGAGATTTGCTGACTCGGGAGAACGCAATCTTAGGAGCATCGACCTCACACACGGGGATTGTCGATACCACTGACTGGCGCAGACAGTGTGGTACCCAGACCACGCCAATCTCTGCCTGATCTGGGATGTAGAAGAAATCAGGTCGTTGGGACTACCCGAGCATCAACAAAAAGTGACCATCTTGGTGGTGAGCACAATGCTGGCTCTACGATGGATGGAAGAAAACATTGCAAAGTATCGGGAATCGAAGACGCCAACAGCAGAGTCGATTCACGCGATAGACTACAGCCGGAGACTTGAGTTGTTCGAGACTGCATGCAAGGTATTTGCCATACCAATGGAAGTCAGACACATGTGGAGCCGCTTGAGATTCTTTCCCTGGTTTCGCGCGACGTTAGTATCCTGGTTATATGTGGTGACGAAGGATCACATGAGGAAACATCAAAAAGAATATCGACAATTCCAGGCCGAGATAGGGCCAGATGCCTTCAAGAGACCTCTGCTGACCCATCGAAATGCGATCACGACGGGGTGGAAAAGAGTGGGTAGAGTATCCAGAGACAACACTAGAGCGAGGGAGTCGATCCTGGAGGAGGACCTAGCGAAGATGTAACATTCGCCCAAATATCACACAGCGACGGAGCGTAGAAAAAGTACCTATTGACGACTGGCAGGCGTCAGTTACCTTAATTCCACTCGTTTTTCACCGTCTCGACCTTGCCAGTTGATTTTCTGGTCTGTCTAGGGCAAAGTAAAAAGTTACTATTTTTAGGCCATCAGTCAAACGACTTTTGATCAGCTTTCGTTTGCATGCGAACACAACCACATAGCTGAGTCTCGGATCCTCAGACTACGTGATTGTCATTAAAAACACGGCTCGAACCACCTATTTCTATATGTTTTTGTGTGACAGTTTTATATTAAATCCATTGGAGATGGATTGACCTTTTCCTTTCTCTATCTACTCATGCTCTGAAATATTAAATAATAACGGTGTTTAATTCAGATCTAGGACATTACAGCAACTGTTATGGCTAGTTTACCCAGTCCCTTCACATATAACAGTCTCTGGGGGACCAAGCCTCCGCTCCCGTGATTTTCTTGAGACAACACTCTTATCTCCTATATTTCGTGTCCCGGGAGGGTTCCGTGGTATTTCTCTTCCCCCCACTGAAGCCTCCGTCTCCACAAATATCCGTCACTAAGGTCCTTATCGTGTGTTATTGCCACGATAAGAGGCTCCGTAATTTTCTCGTCTCGGATACAACCGTTCGTCACAAAATATGGCGTCGTTCTGATTTTTCTCTATTTTATTCAAAATGGCCGTCTTTTTTCTATTTCTCAGAAATGTTCTCCTTCAAATCGAAATTTTAAAAATAAAAATTCCAGAACATTCTGACCCTCCGTCGCAACACTTTTCTGTTCGTAAGGCCTTTAGTCACTTTTTTTTCCGTCGCGGGAAGGTTATACTGTGTCATCCGGCGGAATGGCACAAGAATATAAGCCTGAGTCTGCACAATTCCTTCTGTTTGAACCGGGAGTCGAAGGTGAAGAGATTACCGAATCAAGTGAAGAGATTGCAAGAGCAAAGGGAGTGGATGCGATCCTATGAACAGCTGAAGGCTTGGGAGGAGATTGTGATCAGCTCCGATGATGAGGAGGCACTATTGAGACAGATCACAGTGTCAAACATATCTGGATCGGGTACCTCGAGGGCGAAGAACACGAGGTGAGCCGGTGGCTCAAAAGGAAATTCTTGAGTCTTGAGTCTTGAGAGGGAGGGGGCTCAAGGGTGAACTCGGATGAAATCTGGGTTCACGAAAAAAAAAATTTAACAAATGAGATATTGTTATTAATATGCTAGATCTATTATATAAATCAAAATGCTGCATGACAATTTCCTGATTGAATAGGACAAAAGAATTTTTAAATCACCAGCTTAAAAAGCGGGAATTCATAAGGTGCAGGTTTGTGCAGATTTTGATTGCTGTTTAGCGATAGTGTGAAAATTTTATATGGTCGTGAATTTTGGAAGGTAGATAAACTTAAGTCTGCTGCAAACTTCTGTAAATGACCACTGGCACTGTATCTTGAGTGACACTCGGGCCTCTGGGGATTCACTGACAAAGACAGCACGCGATGAGGACATCGATCTTGAGAGACACGAAAATACGTGATTTTGGAGTGAAGTTTTAATTTTCAAAATTTCGAATGGAGCCTGTCATGCTCAGTTTTCTCGTACCAACTGAAAACAAAAAGTGAAAAATCAGAACATCCGAATATACAATTGCGGGAAAATAATCAAGAAAAACAGCAGGAAATTGCTATTCGCAATTTCCAGATATACAATAGGACACGAGTAGAGCTGTCTTATCCCGGAATAGGAAGAGAGATAATAAAAAGAAGAGAGAACAACTATTCGGAGCAAACTAGAGTGAACCTTCAATGGAAAGGTGGACAGCTTCAGTGTCCCAATGGTTCATACAAAAACTCCAATTCTAGAGCCAGAACTTACTTCTGTTACAAAAACTGTTCAGTATTAAACTTATCTAGTTATATTATCTAATTCTTGAGTTGTACTCAAAAATGCTCGGAGATTCTCTAGGTATTCAAACCTGAATGCATTTATAATGGAGAGTTTATCTTTAACTGACTTTCCTTCTGTTTTAGAGTCAGGACATTCCTTCTGTTTTAGAGTCAGGACATCATTACGTGACTGATAAGAAGCGACCAGATGTTTTGACGCTCGTTCCATGGTCTGTTGGTAAGCAGCTCTTGTGGGTTGTTCCGGTAGTAGACTCCCTAGCTCCCATAGGGTTAATGCGGGGTCGGTTTGTAACCCTGAAATGGCTGACGCTGATGCCGAAGAGCGGAAAAATGCCAAGTTTTAAGACTTAGTAGATGATTGATATCTTATTCAACAGCAGTTGTGTTTTGAGATTCAGGGCGCGTCAATTTTTTTGAGCAAGCTTTCGAAGCATGTGTACTGAGGAACCAAGGGTAGGCAGCTTTTTAGTACACAGGATCTATCTGGCAATACAGATTGAGAACGTCGCTTGCGTACTCGGCGCAATATGTGATAAAACAGCTTTCGACGAAACGTTTGAGTTGTCATTTAATTTAATATATATATTCTTGTGTCGAGTTGAGTTTTTATTGAAGAAACGTAACCCGCATCGAGTTTAATTCTAAAGTCAACATTAATCATCTCCTTTTTGTCAATATCGTACCCATATTCAGAAAATTTGAAGGATTTTGACTGGAATATGTGATGAACGGACGCTTGACTGACGTCGGAAGCCGAATTGATCACCGACGTTGAAAGTCAAATTGATCAATGTCAGCTTAACTGCCTGTTTTAAATTAGAATTGAGAATAGTTTTGAAATTGTTATAGTTAAAAAATGCTTGCCAAAGTTTGGAATGCTCATTTTGAGTCAATACTGAAATGCGCACCCTCTAGATCTACCCTAGTCGTTGACTCTGCTTCAGCAGAATTGTTACATTGGCAGTTCGTCAATAGCCAGTTAACCGACAAATTCAGTGACATCAAATATTTTTCGTCCTTCTCACAGATCTCCAACACTACGGAGGCAGTGTCTATTTTAATCGACAATATCATCTCAAAAGATACATATCAAACGATACAAGATATTATCAGAGCCTCGTCTTCTGTTACGCGTTATGTTATTATCACTCCTTTTTCGGAAAATTTTCACGCTAGTTTTCAATCGAATCAGCAAGAAAATTTACAGAACTTTGACGGAATCAAATATAAATTGCGAGCTATTCCTGGAGGAAGTAGAATAGTCGACATACAGCATATCCCATTTCAGTCGGCACTTATAGATGAAGCTATGAACTTCTTTGTCACGCCATCTTTCACAGCGACTAGTTTATCAGAACAATTCGCAGAATTTACGAACACTATTGGTAAACCATTAATTATCTTTGCAGAATTTCCAATATTTATAAGGGAACAAAATTGAGTGTTTATGAACCAAGTAGTTTCTGACTGATGGAATCAAAAAGTATTTAGTTTCACATTATTCAGTTTTGGTGCTTTGAATTTTTTAAAGCTTGTTTTTGAATTTTTTGACTCCCTTGGTTAAATCCAAACAAATAATTTTTCGTGGTTGAACCTAAATTGTTTTAGAGTAGGACTTTTCAAATCCTTAAAAATTTAACAATTTTTGAAAAAATTAGAATGAGAAAGATGAGAATTTGCTTATTTTACAAAAGTTTTCAGTCGTTTGCTTAATATTAGACAGACGTTTCTTGTTCTTTTTTCATTCGTCACTGTTATTTTTGTCTCTCAAGCTCTCATAGATATCGTCCTTCTGATGTTGAAGTTTTTGTCTGCTTTGGTTAAATGATAATAGACAATCGTTTTAGTATTACCTTTTTTGTCTGACATCCTCGATGCACTTGTAGTTTTTAGTACATCGCGATCTTTAGAAAGCAAGCAAATGAGTCTTTATATCAACAGCGCAGCGTAAAAGTTTATAGCGGGCTTAGTGAATTTTTTTCAAAGTTCGCAAATAAAAATGCTCATTTGGTGGCACTTAAGATATAATCACGATCTACCGACGATAGATGAGCCAAGTTTATCTTCACGATTGCATCTAAAATATCGTTGTTTTAGTACATGAATTAGGAAGTTAAACTTGGCTCATCTATCAGGGGTTTCTATGTCAAAAAATGAACAATAAAACCATATTTTCGGCTATTTTTGACCAAATTGGTCAAATGGTCATATCTCCAAAATTATTGAATTTCATCAGATTTTAATTGAAAAAATGACCCCAAATAGCCGACACTAAATCTCAACTGTTGAAGGTTTTGAGCAGTCATACTTGTAAGAGGGCAGTTTTGAAGCCAATAGGCGTATCGTGACAGCACGCCACGACTATAAAAAGTGAGCCAGTTTTCGTTCTTAAAAAATGACCCTCAAAACTACTTTGGTTTTCGAGAAATCGAGGGCTTTAGATTTCTTTCTCTACGTCCTGAATAAATTCTCCAAAAAATAGTGAAAGTTTGTCCATATCTTGCCTAAAATTGGAAACTTTTTGAACCAACGCGTCCCTTTATCTTTTCTTTCTAGTTTCTTGAGTCGGATTTGAAAAATATTTAAACTTCCTAAATTTTGAAAGTAAATAAATATTTAAGAAATCATTTAAGAAAAAATTCTTCATTTGTTTATGTATCTTTGATTGCCCTGACCATCAAGGTAGACGGTTTAAGGGCCAGCAGCACTCATTGTCTGTCCATGCATGTGTTTGATGATAAACTATTGCATGACTCGCACCTACAGTGCTTCAAATAGATCGTTGAACGTAAAGATAACTCTAATTCATGTACTAAAACAACGATATTTTAGATGCAACCCTGAAGATATCTTTACGTTCAACGATCTATTTGAAGCACTGTAGGTGCGAGTCATGCGCTAGTGTATCATCAAACATATGAATAGACAGACAATGAGCGCTGCTGACCCTTAAATGATTTCTTAAATATTTATTTTCTTTAAAATTTAGGAAGTTTAAATATTTTTCAAATCCGACTCAAGAAACTAGAAAAAAAAGATAAGGGGACGCGTTGGCTCAAAAAATTTCCAATTTTAGGCAAGATATGGACAAACTTTCACTATTTTTTGAAGAAATTAGTGAGGACATAGAGAAAGAAATCTAAAGACCTCGATTTCTCGAAAACCAAAGTAGTTTTGAGGGTCATTTTTTACAAACGAAAACTGGCTCACTTTTTATAGTCGTGTAGCATGCAGCTAAAGGTTTTTGGTGTTAAAAACTGTATAAAGTGAACAGCTTCACCATTTCGTAGTGCTGCACGAGATAATTTTCCAAGTTATTTTCAAGATGGGAAGCTAGAATCAGATCTCCTGGTGACTTTTTGTTCTCAAAGGGATTTTTTCATTCAAAAACGTTCTGAATGAGAGACATTTACGGATTTGTGTATGTAACTGTATAATGTACTAAAAAAACGTTAACAGTTTTGTATCATGACTCCGATCGTTTCGTTTTCTAGAAAAAGTGAATTTGACTTCAATTTTATAAGATATGGATTGGTTTCAGCTGAGTCTAGTTGTAACAGCCGGAAATCGAAACACCATATTGAAGAAGTTGAACATTATTGCTAGAGTAATTTTTTTTTCATTTTACTCATAGGAACAATATTTTAGTTAGGAAACTATTTCTCATAGCTTTCTTAGTTTCATTTTTACAAAATCAGTATGACTTTCGAATCAATGTTGATACCTTAACATTTGCATACAGGTTTTATTCGTACTGATTTAACTTTAACCCGAACTTATGATTAAGCTTTCAATTTTATATTCGTTTGAGCAGTTTTAGTGAGGTTAAACGCCAATTTATTCTCTTGAAGTAATTTGTTTTAACGAAAAATGTCATCTTGTACAGCCTCTTAAACAGCCTATCGAGGTTAATCTTGACACGGTTATTCAAAATACGGTCAAAAATGTTGCTCCATTTTGTTAGTAGAAAAAGGGCTTGTAGTCATTTTGATCTGTTTTCAATCCATCTTAATGAAGCGGCAGTATTTTCGCTTTTCAGAGTTTTTTGGGAAAATTGCCCATTGAAAATGAAAGGTTGCCAGGGACACTCAGATATGGGCCTAAACTTTCTCTGAAGTTTTTACAATAAGATCGTCACCAGATGTGCTCTTGTTATCCAAGTATTTTACAATACTGAACACCAAGTTTACAAGTTGAACGTTTTCTTGTGTAACATTGAAGGTTTGAACATAATCAGTTTCTGATCTAGCAATATTGGGAACTTCAATGGTTAGTAATTCAACATAATCAGTTTCTGATTAAGGAAAGTTGGGATTTTCAATTGTTAGTTGTCTTCCAAGTGTAATGAAAAAGCTGTTGATTTTGTGGGCAATTTTGTCTGTTGGGCTATCCTTTTCTCAAAGCTTGATTGAAATTAGTTGAGACATTTGCCACTAAAACCAATCAATTTATATGATTGACACAGGTCTCCTATACAATTTTTGAGTTTATCCCAATATTAGATCACTGCTGTTTTTACGTTGGCAACAAAAGATTCACCGAAAATTTCAATTATACCAATCAATACGGATTAATTTGATTTAATTTCCTTTTCTTGCGAGCAGCTTTTCTTTTAATGCTAAGGTTTCTAACATCGTTTGAATATCAGGATGGTTTTTTCGTTGACTTGTTTCTGACGTTTATGAGTGGCGCAAACATATTAAGAATCTTTTCGAAAGAGTGTGTGAAAAGATCAACAGCTTTATCAGGGTCTTTAGTTTCCCTAAAGAACCAGTTTGACTGTTTCAATTTATTTTTCTGTCACTTCTAGAAACTCTTTTTTTTGTATTTGTTTCTTTTTGTAAGCTGTGTCGCGGAAATGGGTTCATTATCAAAAATCTGGCACTTCATCAACTATTCTGTGTACTGGGTAATGGCCTGAATAGTTTCCAATATTAAGAAGCACTGAATGTTGTTCCGATATCTTTGAATGTAGATGATAAATTGATCCAAAGAAGTTGAACTGCTGGCTGTTACACGAGTTGGCCCAGGGCTGGAAATGGAAAATGGCTTTGAATAGACACATTTCAAATGACTTTGCCAAAGAAGATTTTTTTGGAATTAAATCGATGTTAAAATCGCCACGTAAAATGCATGCTCGATTAAACGATTTGCAATTATCCAAAAATTCATCAAGTTCCTTAAACAACTGATGTTTGTTTGCATTTGGTAAATAATAAATTACGCACAATGAGTATTGGTAAGGTTTTTTTTCGCAATATCGACTAGAAGGCTTCCATCGAAAAGCGTATTGCGTTGACTCAGTATACAGCAAGTTTTTCGTGCTTTCAGCATCGCACCACCACCACCGAGTGTTTTAACGTTTGTTTGGTTTAAAGTGTTTTACAATTTTCACCTAAATCCTTGATGGGTACTCCAAGTTTCATTAAATCATAAGATATCAGACTCAAGGCAAACCTGCGTTGCGCCTCATCGTCCTCAAGAATGCAGCCCGCGCTTTTCTTGTATCTTGGAAGATCTTTATATTCCATAAATTTGCTTTACTTTTTAGTTCACTTTATTTTCTTCATTAAATCCTTTTTTCTCACTATCCTCGAAAACTTCACACCTGACACTTCAATAACTCTTCAATGTAGTTTCTGAGGATTCGTTTGTGATTCGTCCTTTAGCGCTTGTTGTTGCTTCTTCTTAAGCCAATTATATTAACTTTGTCTCCTTCTTAGGCTTCGATTTCTTTGGCTTCGTATCATGCCACTAAGTGACTCTGTCTTTCACTAAAATCAACATTCTTGGCAACCAACTTGGTCAAGAACTTCATTTTTAATGCCTTCTACTCCCTTTTTGTCTGTGTCCACATGACTTCGAAAGAGTTTTGCGATTCATCAGACATTTGACCACTGAAACTATTAAATAAGTTTATCACAACAATAACTCTTTTGTTAAACTTTGTTTTTTTAACTAATGTAATAATACCAAGATTTAAATTTTTTTGCTATTTTTTGAATACAAATGTTTAGGTAACATAAATAGACTACATTGAAACTCAGTTGTTTATTAGATAAACCAAATCTACTGAATGTGATTTTTTTAGAGCCATCGTCGTCCTCCATACTTGATTCTTTGCCTTCAAATTTTCAACTGGGAGTGAAGAAATTCTGCGGCAATTTCTGGCGACTGATGACGGATATGGAAGCTCAAGCTATTCCGTTTTCAGTCGGAAAAACAAGTCGAATCATTTCCGAACACTTGGCGAGCATTCCAGCGCCTAAGTCGGCTACGAATAAATTCGCTGTCGTTTTTATAGACAGATGTTTGGATCTAGTTGCCCCTTTACAGCCTTCGGATAGATGTTTTGCTGATCAAGTGTACAAATGTTTCCCTGAGTTGAGCGAAAACAGCAGCGATTTACAAATTCCAATTAACCAAATGATTTTGAAGCATATTAAAATTCCCGGTTGTCTCTCCAACCCGAATAACGCCACACATCAAGCCATTTTCCGCAAACTTTTTACGGGCAAAAAGAAAGAGCTGCAAAATGCAAGCATTCGAATCCTGAATGAAATATGTACAAAAGGTGATATTAAAATTTCCGAGAAAATTAATAAAGCATCGTTTGAAAACGCCGAAAAATTACTGCGAGCAATTGAAACTAATCGGAAAGTTCTGATGGAAAATATAAGTGTAGTCAGCGTGGTTATCGCCATTTGGTTAGCTTGCGAGGATAAAAGTTTTGACGAGAAATATAAGTTACAGAAGTTATTCAACCAACAGTTTCAAGACGTAGAACCATCTTTCGATTCAGTTTGCGATTTACTTGTTAATATAATTGAATCAGAATGCGATAATTTATCAATGGATGATAGTTTTGCTTTTGTTGTTTCTTGTTTCTCGCTTTGTGAAGCGGATGGGTCGTATTTTCCCCGCGAAAAAGTGAGCAAACTTTTTGCAGCTTTGCTGAAAAAGTCCGTTGTTCGCAAAGAAGACGACAAAGGTGACGAGAATTCAGTAGCTCGTTTTCTTAACTCTGAGGATGACTTTATGAAGCTGTTAGCATGTGTATCAACTAGCAGGGGCAATCTTGTAGATTATGTGTCACTGTTTGAAGTTGAAGATACGATTCCAACTTACAAACCGTTAGTTGAACAAATAGCAGAGGATATATTCAAAAAAGACCCAAACAAGACGTTAAACGATATAGTGTGTGCGACAGCAATTACAAATCTGAAAAGTCTGATCAAAACTAGCTTCAGCTACTTCATGCCAGTTAGCAAACCGAGGCCCTCAGATTACCCGAATATAATATTTTTTGTAGTGGGGGGAATAACGCCGGCTGAAATCAAAATGATCAAAGATTCTGCGTTGATGTATAACAGCACAGCTAAAGTGTACATCGGATCTAATAAAATATTGGGTCATCCTTGTACCATTCTAAACTCGCTGGCAGAAATAAAGTAAACTTTAAAAATTATCGAATTAATGTAAATTTAGTAATGATGAAAGGTGATGGGTGGTTAAAAGCATTGTCAATACTTGCAATTGCATTATATTTGATAGCAAAATTGAAACTGTCTCTTTCCTTTGAGTCATGTTTTTGAAGTTAAGAAAAATTTTTGGTGAAAAAATGATATATTCACTGCTTAGTTGGCAGCATGAATCTAAGGCTACTTAATATTTTCTCGTGTAACTTTTTTGCAAATCAGTTTTATCGCGTTTTTAAATTTTAGTAGCTTTTTTTGTGCTTAGGGGAAGCAAAATGTTGCCTTTGATTTCTGCAACCGGCTGTCTAACAGGCTTCTTACTTTTTGGCGACTTTGTTTTAACTACCAGAAAAGACCGTGCTGAGGAACTATATTTTTCCAAAGCAGAGTTAAATCTTTAAGCATGAATGCACGAAGTCGAGACACTTGTTCACTTCATAAGACCTTAAAAAATAATTTTGGGTGGTTTGATTATTATACAAGCAAGGCTTGTGTTATAGTATGAACTATCTCTTTTTTCCAACCTAAGTCGCAAATATTGTTGCGATGTGTTCATTTTGAAAGTGCTCATTTTGATCAATAACCAGCTATTAAGTACAGCCAATGCTTAAGATATTAAGACAGACTATTATTGTTTCGACTTTCTTAACGAAAGTAGCGGAATATTTGTGCTCGGGGTGGTTTTTTTCTTCAGACAAATTTCGACTTTTTAACTAGCCATTTCGACGGGATTTTTAGTTTGAAAAGATATTTTACCTGTGATCTTTTTTTGTAAAATTATGGAGGTTTAAAAATTGCCATTTTGGCCAATAAGGGACAATTAACGCGCGATATACTTCGCGCTTTTAACGCGTAAACGGAGATTTAATCCGTCTTAGAAATCGTTCCAAATGGGTTGAAGGAAGCTCATTTGCCATAATTAATTTGTTACTCTGCTTTGCTTTTGATATGGCGTTTGGGGGGATGATTTTCACAAAAAATCTCAAACTTAAAAAAATCATTTTATTTTTATTAGATTTATTTTTTTCAGATTATTACTGCTCCATAGACTGCTCTATAACTTGAGGTTTGTTAGTTGGTTAGTTTCTTTTGTTATCAAATTGACTGGTACTGGTAATGCGTCATAATTGGCGTGCGTCACTTAAGAAATTTTGTAGACTGAAAGTTTTACTCATTCAGTTTTTCCCAGTAGCGTTATCGGTCATATTTTTGTTTGTGTAGGCGAAGTGCAACTTGGCTTCTGTGTCAATGGTTCGTTTCAAATTCTTACGGAAACAAAATACGCTCTGCCATAAAAAAAAGCCAAAAGTGCGAAAACCCGTGATTTCCATTTAATTTCATTTCATAAATGGTCTTCTATACTATATTTAAATGCTAGTGACAGCTATCTCCCATGTTTAAGCTTAATAGTTTTGCATGTTTAACGAAAGAGTTTTCTCATGTTCAAGTTATATCATATATTGCAATGCTTAAGAAAATTTGTCAGTATGTTTTCCGCAATGTCATTAATTTTTCAGTAGTTTTTTTTTCGAGGCCAAATTAAGTCTGTCTGTCTGAATACCTGCTTCTGTAATTAATTTGATATTGTATGTCTACCCGTCTCCTAATTTTTTAACTTTGAATTTGGTTTCGACAATTTAATTCGAAATAGTAATACTGCCAAACGGTTGTCTCCAATCTCTCTTTATCTGGATTTTCTATCTTTTTTGGATCTTTTTTTCATTTTTTTCTTTCTTTCTTTTTCTATTTTTTTTATTTGCCAGTTTGATCTCAGTAGTTATTCCACCCGAGTTTTAAAACAGCAGCTCAATAGTGGGATGCTGTCAGGGTTCACAAAGTGGTTGCGACTTTGGCCTCCAATTAAGAATGCTCAAATTTTTCAAAATTACAAAATAAATTACAAAACTTGAAATTCCCAACCCTGTAGTTAGATGCTGTGAGAGTACTCTCAAGGACTGCGAATCTTACCTTCAAATGAGACGACTCAATTCCTTGTAGTTTTCGAGATATGACACTTTTTGTGATATGACTTTTTTTTTAATTTTCAGAAAGCTTAACGAATTTTGGTTTGAAAAATTGAAATTCCCAACCGTGTAGATGGGGGCTACCAGAGTACTCTCAGGGGGTTTCGATCCTTGCTTCCGCTTTTGACTGCTGAATTTCTTGTAGTTTTCGAGAGATGACTTTTTTCGATTTTTAAAAAAGTTTCAAAACTTAAATTATTTTTTTTTACTATTTGAAATTTCCAACCCTGTAGTTGGGGGCTATCAGGGTACTCTCAGGGGGTTGCGTACCTTGCCTCCAATTATGACTGCTCAAATTTTTGTAGTTTCTGAGATTTGAAGTTTTTTTGTGATTTTTTCAAAAAAAATCAAACCCAAACAATATTTTGTTTTCAAAATTTCCCAACCGTGTAGTTGGGGGCTGTCAGAGTAGTCTCACGGGTTGTGAACATTGCATCCAATTATGACTGCTCAAAATTTTGTAGTTTTCCAGATATGAGTTTTAGTGATTTTGTCAACGTTTTTCAGAAAACGAAACTTTGATTTTTTTTTTAGTTTGAAATTTTTAACCCTGTAATTGGGTGCTGGCAGGGTAATCCCAGGAGTGGCAAATCTTGCCTCCAAATATGAGTACTCAAGTAATTGTACTTTTCGAGATTTGATTTTTGCGAGATAAGGGAAAATAGGAATTAAAAAAAAATTATAAAATATCAAATTACCAGCCAAGTAATTGGGTGCTGTCAGAGTACACTAAAAGCCTGCAGATGTGGCTTCCAATGTATGCGGTTTTTCATGAGTTGTCAAAAATTTGAAGCACCGGAGGTGGGTTACAGGCTAGCATGTTTTAAACGTTTTGAATTTTTTGTTTTCAGGAAAAATCCTCAAAAATTATTATTCTTCGAATTTGTTTTGTTTTCGAGGTTTGATTTTTGATTATTTTATAAGTTGCTTTCAAGTAAATTTTTGTAGACAAATTATGAACTCCAATAAACACAACAAGTATTCAAAGTTTAGTGTTCAAAATACGCTCTCCCTTACCCTTTTTAGAATAAGCAAAAAAAATTGTTTTTTTTTGCGCTTGCGATTAGCAGGCGTTATCAAATGGGATTATAGACTTTCGGGTTAACAACTAGTTAAACAAATCACTCAATCATTTACAGTATTCAATTCTGCAGCAAACATGCTAAATTTTTTCAAACTTAACTATTGCTTACGAAAACTAGGTGACTGCTAAGGGCTTAGGCTCGAATCCGGTCAGCACCTGTTTTTTTTTAAATCAAGGTATTTAGTATCGAAAAATTATCGTCCTACCAGGAAGTTCCCGATTGCAATACCTTTGGTTATCGCTAGGGAAATAAATATAATCAAAGGCACTTTCGAATACAATAAAATTAGCTTACAGACCAAGAAAATTAAGAATTGTGGAAAGTAAGCTGACAGAACATTAGCAAACAGCTTATGTTTTGTCCGCTTAGTTTTCACAATTAGTTACTACCTGATCTGGAGGCAACGAATACGCCTCGGACGGCAAAGGCGGTAGGTTTGAATCCGTCAGGACCTCTTTACTTTCAAACGGGAAATATTCCGTTTCATAAAACATTGTCGGCTTATTTGTCTGCTTATGTTTTGTCGGCATAATTGCCACATCGTAGAATTGTTATTTTTCTATACGCAATTTTGTAGTTGCTTTTAGTGTTTTGATTTATTTCGGCTGTTTGTTTTTCTTGACTTCGCACTTTTTCGCTTAAATTTTTTTTCTGCTCAAATTGTTTCGCCTTGTATTTTCTCGGCCTAGTGACCTAATGTTGAGTCGTTTCACGTGAAACATAGTTTTTATGCTTGCCTCTGGGTCCCTCAAATTGCTAAAACCTTAAGGAAATCATAGTTCAAGTTATTCATGAATAATTTTTTGGGCTTTCTTTCTTTTTTTTGCTTGATTGGTTTCGCTCTATATGATATCAGCTTAGTGACCTCATTTTATTTCATTTGAGTAAATAGTTTTTTGGTTGTGTTAGTTTTGAGGGCGTGTGGATTTGTTAAATTTTTAGTAGTCTTTGTCTTGCTAATTTTTTTCGGCTTGGAAGGTTTGTGCTAAAGTATTTTCGGCTTTGTTACCGCTTGGCTAATTTTCTTCCGATGCTAGTTTCACATTCTATTGTCTGTGGATGTTTTTGTTTCAAAACTACCCTTAATCATTTTGGTATTCTTGTTTTGTATCGCAAGTGGTGCGAATCGAAGCTTCGCCTCTGTGTTGAATTTGTTTCCTTAAATCAGAGTGGTCGAAACATTCCGAGCAGAGCAAACTCAATTGTTCAATAATTTAAAGGGAGTTTTAATAGTGCTTTCGGTATTTCGAGTAGAGTTCAATACTTTTACAACAGAAGGATAAATCCTCATTTCGAATTCGTTGACTGCTTTTCAGATCAGCTTTTGTTATGGACTCGGACACAGTAGTCTCTGATCAGGTGACCTTGTGTGACCCCTATAGTTCAAGCAACACGAACCAACAGCATCAAAATAACCATGTCTCATTTGATCTCAACAACTACAAGAGCAATAATAATGGCTTGTTGTCTTCTCCGTCCTCGGTTCTAGTGGACAGTAATGCCAGTGCCACACTCACTCCCTCCTCCTCTGTCGGGGCTGCTATGCCGGAAACTGAGGATGATACTGGGGGACACCAGTTTGTGGTGGTGGAGAGAAAGAAGCCCGAATTTAGAGAACCAGAACCAGTAAGATAAGAGAACTGGCCTTAATCCTACTGAAATCTGTTTTGAGTAGCTTTTAGCCCAGCTGAGTCGGATCTTTGAGTTTTGCAAAGCTGAAATGTCTCCAAATTCAATTTAAAAAAATGTCGTTTTTTTGCAGAATTTTGATGAACAAAAAGTAGAGTCTTTATCCTACATTGTCTTTTACTTTATTTTTTATTTAGTCTTTGATTTAGACTTGTCCAATAAGGAAACTATGCGAGAAGTCTATAATTTAGTGGAAAATTACAGTTTAAGAGATTGTTTGCACTTTGTATTCGAATGTATGGGTTCTTATGAACCAGGTTTTTTTTTCGTTTTTTCAATTACTATTGCTCCATCCGACCATTTGATGAAGTACGGAAAAACTATGTGTTTTTCCGGCTGTTTCAGGCACCTCCGAGATAGGTCAAGGGTTCAAAATTTGTAAATTAAATTCTTTTTAGTCGTGATTTGGATCCGAACACAAATATCAAATTTCCCCTTCCTCTCCCAAAGTTTTGAAAATCATCTGCCAGCGACATGATTCGTTCCCAATTTTATAATTTTTAGCTGTGAAAGCTGCGGTCTAAGCATTCTCTGCTGTTTGCACTGAAACCGGTCATCCTTGTTCATACAAAAAAAAAACACTTTGCCAGTTGAAAATATTTTCAAATGTACAACTGTAAGTCAAATTGTGATGTTAATGATGATAATTATTGTCAAATACGCCCAAAATTAGTATTACTAACTAAGTTTACGCATTTGATGATAATATCATTATCTTACGAGATTTGCATTAAAGAAATTTGAAATATCTCCATGAAGTTTCTCCATAGGTAGCCACTGTTGGATCTTCATTAAAGAATAATAAATAATAATCCTTAAAAATTGTTTTTGCTTTTCTGTACTTAAGGATATTCTTGAAATTAATTTGGTCATCATGTAACCGGTTTCAAATTGTTAATGATTGTAAAAAATTTAAAAAAAAGAATTTTCGATGTTTTCCTATTAAATCTTTTGACAAAATATAATTTTTTATTGCTTGTTTATGCTTATGTGATTGTTTTGAAAATGAATTTTGTCGTAAGCTGGTAATAAGTGGTGTTTTCGAAAAGTTACAGATATTGTTTCACAGGAGGATAGCACGAGGGTTGATGATTCATTTTGGGAGGATATGAACCAGTTGCTGCAGTGTCACGGCATACAGAAGCTAAACCCAACAGGTACACACCAAATGCAGTCAATTCGAGTCCTAAAATCACGTTTAAGCTGGACAATTTTAAAAATTTGAACTGTTTTCAGACCAAACAAACATGTCCATTGAAAATTCCAATCAGTTGTTTCGAATATAATAAAATAGATGGAAATTATTTCAAATGTTAAGTGTTTCTAATGTTTGAGATCTACTTATGATTGGTAATTACGATGCTGATGATGATGGTGGTAGACCAAAAACTTGTTACCATGGTGTCGTAACATTAAGTCTAAAATAAATGGGATGGAACTTTGAGATAAGTGGCTGATAGTTGTGTATGCATAAGGGGCTTATACTTTTAATTATTTATACTTAAATAATTAAAAAGAGCAAATGACCTTTTTCAGAAAACTTTTGCCTGCAAAACTACCTTTCAGACAAAAACTAAGTCTCGATGTCACCTTAAAATTCAAATTTGCATGTAAAAAATGCTCCAATTTGGCAGATTGCTCTTTTTAGTTTTTATGTCTGTCCGAAGTTTTTGCAACTTTCTATTGATAGGTGTTGTGTTTAGATATGTTGTGCCTGAATAGAAGCAGTGCCTTCACAGTGAAGAGTGTGATGACTCAGCTGGTGAAGGACAATGACAGGAGACAGGCCATCATCCAGGACCTCCTCAAAAACAACAACACACTCAAGTTAGGCCACGCCACATTTTGACACACAGCCTCATCATGTCATGAGTGTTTATTAGGGTAGGCAGAAGAAAACTTTGGCCAAGAAAACTTGAAATAATTTTCTGTCCCCTAATTTTTCATTTGTCGAAACAGGTCAGTAGCGGATTTGAGAGAGACCCCCTGACAAACAAAAGGGTCGATCCACCTTTGCGACCCTAAATTTGTGGCTGAGCGACCCTAAATTTTTTCTAAAAACGTCTTTGGCGGGGTGAGCGCCTTCGGAAATCAAATTAGTCGAACTTAAGAATGTAGACAAAAATTATTTTTTTTTGAAAAGCCCCCCCCCCCTTGAGAAACTCGTAGAACTGCCCCTGAAACATTTGGTAGAGACGAAGAGGTGGATATCTTAATTTCTGCAATAATTTATGAAAAAATGTCAGCTGTGAATAAATTTTTTGACAAGAAAGGGTGTTTTGGAGAATTCGTTAAATTTATTTGGTCGACAAAATTGACATGGTAGAAACACGCAAAAAGGATAGCAGCTGAAAAACTTGTTTCAATGCAGATTGATCATCGTTACAGGTGCGCAGCCTGCTTTTTCTCGAAGAAATCAGCGCTTTCAAAAATATTTAACCTAATAATACAATAATAAACTCGTTAATTTATATGTCAGTTGGCTATTTTTTTTGTGTATAAATGATGTTTTCTTGTTCTGATTTCAAATAGAAACAGAAACATGAATTATTTTATTGAGCTCACAAAGTGTGACGCCGCCGCCGCCACCACAAAACAAATATGTTTTTATTCCCTTGCAAAAGGAAGGGAAATGCTATTGGAATAATTCGTATAACATTTTAAGCATTGAGAATTGAAACGACTATTCTCGTTCAATGCGAATAATAACGATTCCTCTCGTAAAATACGAGCATACGAAACTTTCTTCTCGTAAAATACAAAAATACGAATAGAGAATACGAAGTTAAGAAGTAACTTCTCATTTGATACGAAAAGTGGTACGATTTCCCATCGAGTATAAATAGAAGCTCAAAACTACGGGAATTCATTCCCAACAATTTCTCTTCTAACACCACTACCTCCCTCTCTAATATCCCTACGATTTCTCTTCTAACACCAACACCACTCTCTTCAACCATCCAAGCCATTCTCTAAAATAATATCCATTCTCGCTAAAAATATCTCTAATCTCACCGTTAAAATAGATATTGAGTCAAAAGGCAACTTGCTGTAAATTCATACTAACTTCTTTTCTAATAAAATATTTCTCAGCGATTTTTAGATTTACTTTCTAAGATAGAAAGTAGAAAGGACCCTTTATTCCTAGCAAGCGTTTTGTCCGGCTCACATAGTGTTGCTAGCTCAGAATAAATTGGTGCGACCAGTGAGGCTCACCTTCTAAAAATTCACAAAAATCGCAAAAGTCTCGAAAAGAGATAAAAAAGCAAAGAATCCAATTCTCAAACTGGAGAATTGTTGAAATTTCTCTTACAAATAAAGAGAAGTAATAAATTTCCAAATCGGAAATTTAAGTTTTCTAAGCAAGTTTATAAACTTTTCTATCTTTCTTTTTTTAATTTTAAGCTAAATATAATATGGCTGATACCCCAATATCCCATCCCAACTTGTCTTTAATGACATTTTCGGGAAACGACCCGAACCAAAATGCTACAGCTTTTTGGAATTCAGTTGAAAACAAAATTCTTTTCTCATTAGGTCAAAGACCTAATGATGGCGACGCACGACGCAGCTATGATAGCAGACAACGATCCCTATTCGGATCATTGTTAACTGATACATCTCTTGAATGGTTCAATGATAATGTAACCAATGCTACCACATGGGCACAACTCAAAGATCTCTTCCTAAACAGATTCACTGACGGAAGAGATCAATTCAAACATAGAATTAATGCTGAAAATGCAGCTCGCCAAGAAGGCGAATTAATAAAAAATTACTTCCACAGAATCAAATCTTCTGTAGATAGAGGATGGCCCGAAAGTATTGATGTAGCAGTCCATGCTGATGAAGATGCTCAAAATGCTGAGAGAACTATACAAACCAGACAAAGAAGTCAAAAGTATATTGATTTCTCAATTAAGGGACTACGACCTCTAGCCCTTAAACAAAAAGCTCATGAATACATGATAGAGCATCCAAATGCCAATTGGGATCAATTCACAAATCATGTAATCACTAAGGATCTAACATTCATTGTTGCTACTGATCCTGCTAATAAGTCAACAACGGATAAAATGACTTCATTAGAGACTCAAATTAAAGAACTAACTAAATTGATCAAGAATCAAGAAGTTAGTGCAATCAATGATCAGAACTCATTTCAACGACGTCACCCTGACATTAAGGGAAGACCAAATAGTACACGATTTTGCGAATACTGCAGAATGAATGGACATTCTATATCTAGATGTTCAAAAAACCAAGTTCAGGACGAAGTAAATAAGTTGCGAAAAGAGCTCACAACAAAAAATGAACGAAGAGTTTCATTTGAAACCGATTATAAACGAAATCGAAGACCGAATAACTTCACTAACCAGATTAACCCTAACCCAAGCAACCGGTTTTGGGATAACCAAAACAGAACTACAAACAATTCAAATCCTAGCCAAAACAACTATGGCATTCGCCATAATTATAACTACAACGGAAACAATTTCCAAAAGGCTAATGCACAATCGTCTTTCAATACCAAAAGGCCCCAAACCTATGATGATAGGTATCCCAGAGAAAACAAATTCAGAGAAAATGAACAAGTTGCTAAACAGTTCTACGACCAAGAAAATAGGCAATTCAATAGTAACCCTAGAGGTCGACCATATAACACTGGGAGCTATAATAGCAATAACAGTCGAGACTCAACGCGATCTCAATCACCAAATTTTAGATCGAATCAAATACAGTCTGAAACTACCCACTGGGTTGAGGAAGAAGTCAATTACTGTGATGCGATCACTGATTTCTTTCCTTTAAACTATTAAAGTCTCCGAAACCAAGCTATGATAGTAATCCTAAATCAAGGATATATCTTAGCTTATATCCTTTTGCCACCGGAGACAAAAATAATAATAGTGGACTCGAAATTGAATTCATGATTGACCCAGGATCAACATGTAGTATCATAAACTACCCAACGTATCAGGAATTGGAAAAATTAGGTCAAAAAAATGACAATTTACCGATCCAAAATTAAAGCAAAGACTTATAATGGATCTGATATACGTATTTTTGGCCAAACATCTATTCAATCTTGTTTCGACACTGATGGAAAGTATCCATCTAACCACAAAGTGTGGATAACTGAAGAAAAGACTGCTAATCTTAAGGAGTAAACTTTTGTCATCTCTTCTTGAAAGCTCTCTACTTTGATATCCCCGCAGTTGAGCTAAAATCAAAAGAAGGTGTAATATCCTACGGGTTGATGAACAATGATAAAGAATATCCTAATGTTTCAAAAATTGTCTCAATTAACTTGAAAGAACCCCTGTTCATTCCAGCACGCTCTACATACTTATACAAACACTTGGCTGACTGAACCAAATTCATACTTCGAAAAAGGGACTACCTTTCTGCCTCATAAAAATACAACCAAAACTGAACTGGTTTTCATAAATACAGTTTGTACTCAAATTGAGCAGAGCCTACCTATCCTAATTGAGAATCAGAAAGATCATCCTGTCACACTAAACAAGTGTGTACTAGGTTATGCAGTAACTGATATTCAAGGATACGAGGATAAAATAATTGCTATCCACGATTGTGATGAGTTCACAACGAGAATTTTAAACGAAAGTTCGGAATTCGATAGCTGTTTCATGCTGAACACGGTTGTCAATACTACACAGGAAAGCAACAACCAATTATCCGGCCCCTGTCTACAATATGTAGACTTCAAAAAAAGGTCCATATTCGAATCGAATATGCCCATTGCTCATACAATCTCTGCAGATAGAGCAATGAAAAAAGTGTTTGCTGAATCAATTAGCAAAAGGTATCCTGAGTTACGACACTTTTGTAACTCAATACATGCTAACATTAACGATATTCTTATCTTCACTGGTCCAAAATCTGGACAAATTATATATAACCTCATTACCAAACAGAGATACTTTCAGAAACCCACTTACGACGCTGTATTCAATACCTTGTCCGAAATGAAAGATCATGCTATAGCAAATAACATTCGATCTATCGCAATGCCTAAAATTGCTTGTGGCTTAGATAAAATGAATTGGGAAGAAGTTTCTAAAATCACTGTCGATGTATTCCAACATTCTGGAATTACTATATTTGTCTATGTTTCAGGACAAGAAATCAAGGACATGCCTGCCCTTGAAGTGTTTGATACAGAAAATGTCTCAGAAATATTTGAACAAATTGGTTCAGATATAGTCAAAGTATGCAAAAATGAAAACGAAATAGCAACCGACTTTTCTAATGATGCAAAGAACCTTTGCAGGCCTCCCCTGAAAGAACAATTTAAAAAGTACCGAAACAAAGAACATAATGATCGGCTAATTGCCTTTCTAGTCAATAAAACGTTTACCCAATACTCCTCAATTGATAAAGACAATAGTAGTACTTTGGAAAAAATCTAAACTTCTATTAAATTCTTATCTGACTTCGATTTCACACAAAGTGATATATCCGATGATGAGTTTGCAGATCTAATTCAAATGTTGATAGAGGACCAAGATGTCTATTCTCATCACAAATATGATATTGGAAAAACAAAACATAAATTCCATATACCACTCAAAAAGGACGCAACATTCAAAAAGCAACGACCTAGTAAAATCCCAGTCCATCTAAGAGATAAATTGGACAAATTAATGGATGAACTAATCCAAGCAGGCATAGTCAGAGAACTAAATGAAAAAGATGATATGAACTCATGGTTCGTAAACCCGGTCATCATTCTTCCGAAAAAAGACTACGTTAAGTTGGTCTTGGATGCTAGGTATCTAAACTCAATCACAGATACTAGC